ACTGCTTCTTTGTGTAACGCGAATGCTGGGACCAGAGAGACAGTTCCTGCAAGAGTTCCTGCACGCGAAAGGGAGGAATAGAGAGAGACATCTCCTCCGAATCGACGTTAATGCCGAGGCAAACCAGTTTAGTGGATGGCGGAGAATCCTTATCAGGTGAAGTTTGAAGACCGAGTTCTTGTAGCAGCTGTTTTAATGATGTGAACGTGGTAGATGCTCTCGCGGGCAAGTCGGCTCCATAAAAGTCATTGAGGTAAACGTCCGCCAAGAAGCCTAATTGCGTGAAACAATGCACGACAGCCTTAGTAGTGCGTTGACAGATCAGAGCAGAGGTCTTCAGACCAAATGGACAACGAGTATCAAAGTAGAGGAGATTGTTGAAAGGAAATCCCAGTAGATGATAGTCTTTGGGATCGATGGGTATTTGACGATAGGCACGTTGAAGGTCGAGTTTATACAGAAGGCAAACTTGGCCTAGCTGCAGGATGAACTCGCACAACTGATCAATCCCTGGGAGGTGAAGTTTGTAGGGCTCGTTGAGATAAGAAGAATCCGGAATACCAATGTTCACTGAAGCGTGGGGGGGAAAATGTTCAACGGCACTTCTCTTCAACCTAGCAAGATTGTTTACGTTAAGTTGACACTGCAAAGTGTCCATGAGATCTGTAAGCAAGAGCGAAGGAAAGAAAAGCAAGTTCGAGCCTTAAAAGATGTACATTGCTATGACCGGAAAACACTTCTAGAGAAGGGGGAGCTTGACACTCTGAAACTCCCCGAGTTGGACAAATACATTGAGCATAATAAACTTAGCAAGAATGGAAAGAAAATCGACAAAATCAAGCGAATCACAGTACACTATTATGAGACTTCAAAGGAATCTACATTTCCTTCAAGCGTCAGTGTTGGTGAGGACAGTGATGAGAGTGACAGTGACAATGACCTTGTTTTGTGTGATGAAAGTGAAAGCGAAAGTGAATCAGATGATAACAGTCATACTGTAACAATACAAGAAGGCACATCAACAAGAACTGGCCACAGGGTAGGACACTGGTCCACAAGATATGCTGATTTCATTCAGTGAACAGGAACTCCTTATAGAGGTATAGATTGAAGGGGTTTGGGGGTGGGTCACCTCTTATATAAAGTTATATGGGGGTGGGTCAAGAATAAACTAATGGGCTTAAAGGGGTGGGTCACGTTTTTTCTTTCATGCTAAAACGAACAAAATCCCTCCACCCCCCCCCCCCTTAAATTAATAATAACGGGTTTCTTATTGATGGATGCATTCATTCATTCATTCACTCGTTCGTTTATCTAACTATCCTTATCTATTCACATAACCTTTACCTTCACAACTTTGCATGTCTTCCATGACTGGGTTACTGGCTTTGCTGCCAAGCGGCATATGATGGTTCCTTGTACACGCTAGACAAACAGAACTCCCTGCAGAGCTACTGAAGGGTTTTACAATACTTATTCTCTACAATCCAAAAATAAAGGACTTTGTAATGAATATCTGTAAATCGTTATTAATTCTACATGTATGTGTACCAATATCAATATCGTCTTTACTTATTGTTCTGAATAATTTATTACTATTATTTTTTACCAAATGGCTTTATGTGGACCTACTACATTTAAAATAAACACCCATCTATTAAAATGACAACATAATTGTTTCACTCCTAGACCAAATCCTGTGGTGTTACCATTCAAATAAAACCTCTTTGGCAGAACTTTTGAATAGTACTATCAATTTTGTTTCTTAGGCAGGTAAGGTAAGTCTTCACAAGCCAAATGGCTCACTACTGGCAAAGATTAAACCGGTTTTTGTAGTTTGAATGGTATTCCTAACCCCCCCCCCCCCAGATGAGATGCTAGTCAAACAAATTTGTATCTCATGATTTTACAAAAAAGGGAGTGTCTGCGTCAAGAATAGCAAACACATACAACATACATACTAAAATGAGGATGATTATTCATCTTAGGCATTGACTTGAGTAGTAAATATTGTAGGCCTTAGCCATTCTGCGGAGTCCAATGATCCAGAATCTTTTTCTGGCCTCGTGGATTAAACTCTTATAGCCACAATGCCCTCGTCGTTCGTGGAGGTCATGCAGAAGCAAGAACACAAAAGGGTGGTCTTTTGGCAAGATAATAGGCTTTCTCAACTCTTCCGGGAGACGTCTGACATCTTCAAGTCGACCATGCGCATGAAAAAGGCCATCTTCATCCTTCTTTGCTACCAGTTTCTTATCCAAGCTGTCTTCGTTGACGTGAAATTGACTCCACTTCAGAAGATGGGTCTCGGCAGCCGTCAGTTCCTGAACTTAAATGGGCCCTGACTTTGGGTTCATTTTCCGAGCGTCGTGAATAAAGCGACCGACGTAGGCTAGAGTTCTCCGTATCTTGGAGTACGTAGAACACGTTTTCAGCAAGTGTAAAAGGATAGGATTTTCTTCAGATCCAGGTTGATCTAGTTCAGGACATACTTCCGCGGCGGCACTGTGATGTTTACGGACTTTCTTCTCTTTCCGAAATGTTTTCTTCTCTCTTAAAGCGTCGAGGTCGTCCACATGAGTGTTAACTCGGGTGTGGTCTTGAGCGCTGGGCCACTTTTCTTCTGGCAACTCTAGGAAGGATGGTCCCTCTGTCCACTTCATGAGATGATTAAGATGGATTCCTCTCGTTAGAGCATCTGCAGGGTTGTTGTTAGACTTGATGTAGCGTATTTGGTCTGCCCCAATCGTCTCTTGAATTTCAGCCACTCTGGCAGATACGAAAGGCCTGAATTCCCGTGGTGGCGTTCTGATCCAGGACAAAATGGTTGATGAATTGATCCAGAAGAATCTTTCCCAGTCCTGGGCTTTTGCGAACTCCAATGCTTTTACACATGTAACGTACATGCGTGCAAGTGCTAAACAGTGCAACAGTTCTAATCTCGGGATGCTCTTCTTCTTTAGAGGTGCGACGAAAGCCTTTATCGTGACTGGAACACTACGATAGTCTCCGCCAGCAAGTTTCCACCGTAGGAAGATGACCGCACCATAAGCCTGCTCACCACCATCGGAGAATCTGTGAATTTGAGGCACGCCCACTGCATTGTTTGGTTTTAGCTTGCAGTCAAACTGAAATGACAGGAGATCATTTATGGACTGGACATTCTCTAACCATGTTTGCTGAATACTCTCGGGAAGGATGTCGTCCCAGCTGTAACCTGAACTCCATAATCCTTGCAAGTCAATTCTGAACTTGATTGCGACGGGCAGCACAAGACCGATGGGGTCCAATAACTGACCAACAAAACCTAAACAGCACCTCTTTGTCAGGACATCCAGTTCTCCGAGGTCATTGTTTTTGAAGGTGAACGTGTCTAGCTTTTTATCCCAGCTTAGGCCGAGAAGATCCGTGAACCGTTCACCGTTGGATTGGTCAATTTCTGCCTCATTGGAATGCCAAGTTTTGATCTGGAAGTTGCCTTTCGCGAGGACAGCGTCAATGTGGCTGATAATCTGCTTTGCCTTGGTTACTCTTTCTCTGGAGCCACCGATGTCATCCGCGTACACATGCTGTCGGAGCTTTCTACGGCTTCCGCGAATTCTGCGTTCGAAAGCTTGGCTAGCGTGTTGATAGCGTTAGTTGTGATGTCAGGGGCCAGTTTATCACCAAAGTTCAGTCTTAGCCACTGGTAAACAGTTGGTTTGTCACATGTGTTGCTCCTCCACAGAAACCTGTGGTACACCTGATCCTCAGGATGTACCAGGATTTGGTTGAACATTTTACGAACGTCACCAGTGAACGCCACTTCGTCCCATCGCCCTGCTGCCAGTACATCCAGAAGACTATTGATGAAGTTAGGTCCTTTCTCAAGGTAATCGTTCGGGGACAATCCATCATGACCTTTTGAAGATGAATCAAAGACTAGTCGAACTTTTGTGGTTCTTTCTGGCGTAAACACTGCTTGCAATGGGAGGTACCATTCGGGTTTATCATGAGCAATTTGTTCAGGTGGAATCATTGTGATAAAGTTCTGGTCTAACAACTTTTGCACTTCCTCTTTTATGACCTCGAAGCAACCCTTTTTCATAAACCCCCTTTCAGCGGAGAGCACTCTCTTCAGAGCAATGTCGTAGTTGCTTCGTTTTGGAGGCCCTCCTTCTTTCCAGGGCATCTTCACTTGTATTCTCTCGTCGACCAAAGTGGTTGAAGCTGCGAGGGACTTCACGAACTTGCTCTCAGGTAACACGTTTTCAGTGCAAGTACAGAGTTTGGTTGGTTCGACTCCAAGGAGGTCTTGGTGGAGAAGTTTCTTGATATCTTCCTCGACACTCACTGTCCCTACTTCTATTGACTGAATTTCAGATAGGGTGGAGCCGCTTGACTCGAACTGTCCCAGAACGTACCATCCAAAGCAATTTCTTTTCCTGATGGGCTCTCCAGGTTCTCCGGACACTGTGTGAATATCAATGAAGGTCTCTATGAAGTCTGTACCAATAAGGAGATCTATGGCACCCCCCGAGAGATGTATTTTATCGGAAACGTTCTTCAAATGGCTGTGTTGTCTCACTGACTCCTTAGAAATTGTTTTGGCACTCCTGCAAGGTCTAGTTACGGTGTACACTTGAAGGGTCTTCATAATATCTTCGTCAGAGGGCGAGGCAACCGTGACATCGATTATCTCAGAAGGTTCGCTTTCCTTCTTTCCACCCGCTAAATTCATAGTGAGACGTGTTGCTGCTCCATTTAAGCCAAGTCGACCAGCTGCACTTTTGGAGAGTAGGCTTGTGTTAGACCCGGAGTCCAACATGGCGAGAACTTCGACAAAATCTCCATTTTTGTTCATGACTTTAACTTTTTGCACAGGGCAAAGTCCAGTAACAGGTTTCAACTTGCTCTTCTGGTGCACAGCATTCCCTTGGATATTACCATTTGACGTAGGTGTGGGCCCTTGGAACTGACTTTGGAACGGTGGTGCTTTGGGATTCAAACTTGTGTTAGTTTCTACAGTCTTTTCCTTATGTAGGCACCGGTGATGGTTTTTTCTGCATTTATCGCACGTTGAGCCGTCTGGTTTCTTGCAATCGTTTGTGTGATGTGCTCTCAGACACTTGCGACATCGCCAATGTTGCTTTACAACCTCCCACCTTTGATTGACTGTTAGAATCTGAAACTTAGGACATGCAGCCAGGTGATGTTTGGTCTAAGAGGTGCGACGAAAGCCTTTATCGTGACTGGAACACTACGATAGTCTCCGCCAGCAAGTTTCCACCGTAGGAAGATGACCGCACCATAAGCCTGCTCACCACCATCGGAGAATCTGTGAATTTGAGGCACGCCCACTGCATTGTTTGGTTTTAGCTTGCAGTCAAACTGAAATGACAGGAGATCATTTATGGACTGGACATTCTCTAACCATGTTTGCTGAATACTCTCGGGAAGGATGTCGTCCCAGCTGTAACCTGAACTCCATAATCCTTGCAAGTCAATTCTGAACTTGATTGCGACGGGCAGCACAAGACCGATGGGGTCCAATAACTGACCAACAAGACCTAAACAGCACCTCTTTGTCAGGACATCCAGTTCTCCGAGGTCATTGTTTTTGAAGGTGAACGTGTCTAGCTTTTTATCCCAGCTTAGGCCGAGAAGATCCGTGAACCGTTCACCGTTGGATTGGTCAATTTCTGCCTCATTGGAATGCCAAGTTTTGATCTGGAAGTTGCCTTTCGCGAGGACAGCGTCAATGTGGCTGATAATCTGCTTTGCCTTGGTTACTGTTTCTCTGGAGCCACCGATGTCATCCGTGTACACATGCTGTCGGAGCTTTCTACGGCTTCCGGGAATTCTGCGTTCGAAAGCTTGGCTAGCGTGTTGATAGCGTTAGTTGTGATGTCAGGGGCCGGTTTATCACCAAAGTTCAGTCTTAGCCACTGGTAAACAGTTGGTTTGTCACATGTGTTGCTCCTCCACAGAAACCTGTGGTACACCTGATCCTCAGGATGTACCAGGATTTGGTTGAACATTTTACGAACGTCACCAGTGAACGCCACTTCGTCCCATTGCCCTGCTGCCAGTACATCCAGAAGACTATTGATGAAGTTAGGTCCTTTCTCAAGGTAATCGTTCGGGGACAATCCATCATGACCTTTTGAAGATGAATCAAAGACTAGTCGAACTTTTGTGGTTCTTTCTGGCGTAAACACTGCTTGCAATGGGAGGTACCATTCGGGTTTATCATGAGCAATTTGTTCAGGTGGAACCAATGTTGCTTTACAACCTCCCACCTTTGATTGACTGTTAGAATCTGAAACTTAGGACATGCAGCCAGGTGATGTTTGGTCTTACAGCCAAGAGGACATGTTTCATCGTCAGAATCCTCGCTGTTAGCGGCGTTATTTTCTGTCTTTTTGGGATCTTTGTCTTGGCGAATTTTGTTTCTTTCCACTGTGTTGCTGTTCGCTTTCCCTCGGGAACGAATACTCGCTTCTTGATGTAACTAGGTGATTAGATTGCTCACGGTTTCTTCTTTTCCTTCTCTTTTCATTTCTCTACCAAAATCTGAATTGTCACTTGGACCGAGTTTGGACAGAAGCTGGAACATGAGGAACAGCGCTTCAACTGACTCCAGTACAGGACACCCAATATTATCTTCCATGTCACTTACATAACAGGCTATTGTCATAGCGAAATGCGTTAGGGACTTAGAATGTCATTTTACTGCGTTAAGATTATTAATCTCGGTGTGCAGTTCGTCCAATAGTTTTTTCGTCTGTCCGCAAACTCTGTATCCAAAATGATCCATGCGCTGTCAATGGTTTTACAAGTTTTACTTGGTCGGTCCGGAACAATCCTTTTGGCGTTGCATTTCGAAAATGCTGCAATTGTTCATCTTTATCCTGACCGTATTTCTTCATCCAATGGCTGAACTCCTTTTTCCACGTGGCATAGGTTCTGTGAGTTCCGTCCCATACTGGTACAGGTAATCGTTGTAAACTTGAGTTTGACAGTTTTGACCCGATGTTATCGGCCATTTTCTGCACTGCCGATGTCATGGACGACATTGATAATGTTAGCGCTTCCAGAGTTGTCGCATTGTTAGAATTTTCTGAGGAGTTTTGTTCCTTTTGATATGCAGCAAACTTTAAAGTGATTTGAAGGAAATCAGGTTTGGTTTTGTCTCCAGGTTTCTTTGTTGCTAACACGAGTTCGTCTTCTGGGCAAGTGCCTTCTTTGACCAGTCTATCCAGAATTGTTTCCTGCTGTTTCTTGACCAGCCTGTACTTGGTTTCTACTAAACTGAATGCTGCTTCAAGTGTTTTTAGTTCCGGTTTTACGGAGAAAATTGTTTCGAATTCTTCCATTAATTTGCACCAGAGTTTGAGGGCATTGTCCAGTTTTCCCGTGAGAGTTTTCACGTCTACCTTCGGCGGCATTGTGAGCGGAATTTAAATGCGAAGCTTGGCGGTAGTTAGTTACTCAGCGTAATCTTCTGCAACAAATTTTGACTGATTCGCTCCTGTGATTGAAGGACTACTTTATGTTGAAGATTTCACCACTAACTGATTTTCGCGTACATGACCGTACATGGAATTTATTTGCACTTGTAGTATTATAGTCAAAATTTGTGTTCCATATGCGGCCAGTAAGCTTCAAAGTGCGATCTGTGGTGACACTTTTGAAATGTAAGTTGCGTAACGAACTTCTAGGTTTTTAAAATAATTAGTCACCTGATCTATTTTTGCTGCGTTGTGCTAAGATAATTAAATATTCACAAAAAAATTGACAAACGGCTTGAAAAATGCAAATCAAAGGCTATGGCAATAAAAGACATGATTGATGAACTGTTTCAGTTCACTCCCGTTTCTTAATTTTTCACTCCACATTCATTCTTGTATGATTTAAGTATGCTGTATGGCTCTAGAAATTTAATTAAGTTTAAAGAGGCCGTGTCACGGATGGGGTGTTACGAAAACTAAGACTCTCGAAAACTAAGGCCTAAGACCCATCTTAGTTTCCAAGATTACGACTGAGCACTGATGAAAGTAGGTCTGACAAGAACTGATATGATTTCTTCTCATTAATTGGTTTGACAACCCATCTTTTATTTGCTTTTGGGAAGCAAAGCTTTTATCGTCTCTCACATGCCCATTCACCTGACTTTATCACAGCTTGACTATGGCCAGTGTTAGTATTGTTGTCTAGAGCGGCTAGCTGGATCCTAGATACCATGCCCTGGTAAGAATAATGCTCTTATTTGGAGACGTACTTCAGCATCATTGACTGGTAGACCTCAGTTTTACCAGTGTGACAGAAGTCAGTTTAGCCAGATCTTTAAGTACCACTTCTACACTGATGGAAGAGCGTGTTGCCTGACCACTTGTACTTGTTGCCTACGTGATCTAAGACTTCCACTTTTCACGCAGAAGCTGCACATTCCCATCGCTGGTTGCCTTCGCACCACCAAAGGCGATTGGAAATGGATTGTATCCAAGGGGCCAGTTCCTCGCAACCCTTTTGTTTGGCTTTGTAAGTTTTTTGACCATCCACTTGGAGAGATGCCAAACATCATACTTGTGGTTGGTGTGTGGGAAGTCCTTCATGCAATGAATGAATGACAAGAAGACATGCATGGTGACCTCAGGATATCCACCGGTTTATTCAAAATGTTAATGCTCTTTGATAATTTTCTCCTTTTCCATCGGAATCGCTTACATCTTGAATTTCCTTCGATGCCATTTTCAAATCTCGTGCAAGAAAGGTGCAAAGAAGCGTGCACAAAGATGTCAGTCGGTAATCAGCGGTGCTTTTGCGGGATCGGGTACAAGCGGTCATTCGATATGGAATCAATATTGAATTATTAAATTGCAACAAGTCATAATTCAATGTAATCCGTAAAGTAAGAAATTGCATGACAAACAGTTATAATTAAATGACTAAATGACCAGGGATAATTTAATGACTAAAAGTAGTAATTGAAAGATAATATCGAACATAATTGAATGTCAAGCAGGCATGATGAGATATAGTAATTGAGTGACAAGAAGACATAATTGAATCTCGATGAGATATAGTAATTGATTGACAAGAAGACATAATTAAAAGAGAAACGGACATAATTGAATGACAAGCAGACATGATTGAATCTGCGCAGTGAATAGTATTTTTGATATGAAAACTGCTTCATGGTAACACCACAGGTTCTACAGTTGTGTTGTTTTAGATGATGCTTTCAATAGCATCCTTGATGGAAGAGCGTATCTTTTGGAGTCTGACAATTGTTTTTCCTTTGTGGTACTTTTCTGACAGGGGTCTCTTTGCTGGGTTGAAACAAATTGTTGTGACTACTTTGAATACTGTAGTTTTAGTATAATGTGGAAAAGGTGGCCTTCTTCACAGGAGATATGGCTTTGATGTAACCCAACCTTTATTGTACTTCAGAGCTCTGAGTAGCTACAGAACAGGAATAGTCAGTGATAATGTCATATAATGCAAGTGTAGGCATGTCACTCCTGTCATAGAAACCTAACCCCGTAATATCTTTCTGGAGTCATGATCACAGCACTCATAGGATCTTGAAGGGGGAGGAGGATGTTCTGTTGTGGTTGATGATCTATTTTGCCTTGAGTATGAACTGAACGCTTACTAGAATGGTCTTACAGTGAAACCAGTCATTCGTTTGCGCGCCACTTTGCAATATTGTCACTCAATGTTGGTATTTTGATTGGCAGTTTGCTCTGAGCAAGTTGCGATTCAAATTTCAATTTGCTGCCTGAGCAAATGGTTTTTCATATTGGAATATTGTGGGTTGACTGCAATGGCAAGCAACATTAAGCCAATGACATGTGCATAATATTCCTGATTTTTACTGGTAGATTTGCGCTATTTTGTCCGTCCATCACTTATATAATATCTACTGTGCCATTATAAGTAGTAACTTGAGCTTTAACGTCAGTCTTGGGTCAAGTGACAATGAAGGGGTAACCTGCTTGCTGTGTGGTTTTACGCCATATACTGCCTCCCAAAGACTCGGCTTCATAGCACGGTGGTAGGCAATATTTCCTACATAAGCAGCTTCCATGGGCTTCCATACTAGACTGCCCGCCATGTGTTGGTTTCTCTATTAGTGGAAACTATTAGCGTTCTTATTTCTTCTTTCAATGATTTCTTTGCTTTCTCCACAAGCCCTTGCGTTGTTGGAGAACGTGGTGAGCCATTTTTGTTTCAGAATGTTTTTTTTTTGTTCTTGAAATCCTTACCATTGCGATGGAGACCATATGTGTAACAGTATGTTTTGATGAGTCTCAGTACCTCATCAGCAGTTTTGCTTATAAGTGGTGAAACGTAAACATTATTATTTGGTGTGATAATCTATGACGGTAATCGCCCATCTGTGAGGCTCACTGTAATCGCATGGCCAGTTTCTGAAATCCGTTAAGTCATTCTCCAAAAGTGAAAGAAAACGTGGGGACTGAGGAGGTTTTTCTACAATTTCACTCGACTGGTAATAGGGTGCTGTTCAGCCTAACAAATGGCATGAAGCAACAAAAAGGCTGATTACCTTCCTGTTGACTTTGCTCTAGTTATTGTTGATACATTTGTTGGTAATCTGTTTTCCTCAGCGATTGACTCGTCTGTGTGCAAGGCTTAAAACTTCATGAAGCTGTCCTTTGGAGACCACTTTCTTTGTCCTTTTGTCTTTGGTTACTAGTGAGTCATTTCATAGGCCCAATTCTTCCGCATGATTGTGTTCATCTCCCATTTGGTCATTTTCAAAGAGGCTTGTTTTGCTGACTGAGTCTGAGACGTGAATCATCTTGCTGTTTCAAGTATGCCTTTGCTTTGAAAAAGTGGTGGGCAATAAACGTTATCAGAGATTCATCTTTTGTTTGTTTTAGCTTTAAATCATGTAAATTTTTTGTGAAATATTTCTTTTGAAACGCATCATTCTCTTCTGTTGGTGCTCTTGCTATCTATACACATGTGTATAAGTGTATGATTATTTTAATAGGTGTCTGATATTAATTTTATCCAAAGGGTTTTAAAAACTTGAACTTGAGCTTCAGACCAATAAATTATAATAGCAACAAAAACTGGAGAAATTCCATTAAAATCTGGCATGGCCTAATGGAGAGAACGGATGGCAACAGATCTGGAGGTTGATGGGTTCAAATCGTGATGAGTACAGTATGAATTTACTAAAAAAGTGCTTGTTCCTGAGTAAGGGTAGAGTGGTAAGTATGTCAGGGGAGGTAAATGTATGAATCTGTGGGGTAGGGTTGATAACTATGATGGGGTTGGTGGATGAGAGTGCAGCGGAAATTCTTGTGTTTTTTGTTTCTTCTTCTTGCATATGATTCGTTTTCAGAAACCCCCTAAGAAGCCAAGTCCTTATTTTTTATCCCAACCCAAACAATAAAAGGTCCTTTTTCAGGCAGTTGGTTGAGAACTTATTCACAAAAATTAAACCAATCTTACAATAAACTAACTGGTTCAAAAAGAAATCTGCTGGTCTGGAAAACTAAACTAGAGGTTAAAATTGAACTACAACATATACACCAAGGTGATTCTATTTCGAAGAAGCTTGACCTGACAGTATATCCAAGCAGCCAAGAAAAGAGGGATTGCAAAGAAATTGTAACGGTTCTGCAAATGACACAGTGCGGAAGTTCAAAAAAGAGCACTGGTTAAGCAGGTGTTACAAGTGAGATACTCTCTGTGAAAGACTGTAGGCTGAAAAGGAGACTGGAAAGTTTTTAGTGACAGTTTATAGTGTAACTACCCCAACCACGGCAATTCTAACAAATTGTCATTCTTCATTTTTAGCCAACCTCCATGGGCGTGCAGAACCTCACTGTTAAGAAAACTTGGTAAACCTGTAAACGCATTTGTGAATTTTGGTTGTGAGTCATTGTACAGTGAACGTACGTACGTTGTTTGGTGGTTGGGGGAGGGTGTTCCAAATCAGCCTGACCAGGGTAGGACCTTGCATCCGCTCCACAGGGAATCTAATGTTTAATCTCACATTCTACCTGGTTTGGGAGCCTGCAACCTGATACTGCATATCCATTGTACGATTAAGTGACAGCTGTCCTGACTGACCATTGCTGACTCAGGTATCAACCCATCAAGGTTCAGTATTGTTTTGAAGGCATTTACTGTCATGTTACTAGTTTTCAATTGATCGCAGGCGCAGTATTTTCACAGGAAGGAAGTTGTGTTTATAAGCAGCATTATAAAAAGTTTGATTTGAAACTGACCTCTGCTTGGTTTGGCTGATTTCAAACTGACCTCGGATGCAAAAATTCAGCCAGCTTTCACAGGCAGAGAAGGTAGTTGACTTTTCTTACCATGATCATGCGTTGGTCACACTACATCCAATTTGTATGCTCTAATAGGTCAAAATTTGACTGGTGAGTTCTCACGGAAAATTTAT